TTCGGAACAGCCAGTCATTTCAGTCAATTGATACAGGCCAAACTAAAAAGTATATTGTGGGCGTGGTCGCATGTAGTAATGAACAATAACGATTTTCTACTGTGCTGTTCTGTCGATAGTACTCTGCAGATCCTTTATCTCTTTTTAAACCGAAATAAAATCATCAGATAGCTGCCTGCTGCAATGAAATACCGCGTTCCCTGCCACTGACAAAATGCAGGCGGTATTAGCTTTAGCCATTCTTGTCCGCAGTGCTGCTCGTTTTCGCCGATCTCGTCGTCAAAAGAAACAGAGGCTCTGGGGACAAAAATGATATATAACAAGATCTGTTTTAGAAGAATGAACAGCCTCGACGGAAAATCCTTAAAATCCTGGCTAAACGGACTCGCAAGTAGTCGCAAGCAGCCGGAAGTTGAACTTGTGTAGAAAGTTGCGTTGGGTGGCTAAACAGACTCGCAAGTTTCCTCGCAAGTACCCACAAGTCGCTATAAAAACCATTTCAAGTCAGAAATATCCTGTATTTCATTGGCTAATAATAGGTTAATGGACATCTCTCAACTTGCGCTGACTTGGGTGAGTGGCCAAACGGTGAAAAACTTGCGTCGACCTGCGTGCAAATTTGATCTCGACCAAAGTGAACGCAAGTCATCGCAATTCAACACAAGTGCACACAAAGCCTGGCCAAAAGGAGTCACAAGTAGACCCAAGTTTTCAACTTTCGTCTAATTGCGAGTCCGTTTGGCCATGATCCCAGTGTTTCACGGAGCCAGCGAGGTTACCAAGTTATGAAGGACAAAGGCTCCAGCTGCATACAGACAAGCGGAATCATTCGCCGAACGATCGCCGGCCAAATAAAACTGGTCAGACGTGAGGCAAACGGGAAAACATACGAAAGAGTCTTTTTTAGCACCTCATAAATGCCCTACTTTTTGATTTGTGTGAATTCTTTCCGTTTGTGTGACTGATTTAAGAGAGGTTTATTCAACTTGAAACGAAAAATAAAAAACGCTGCTTGCTATCCGCAAGTTTGGATGGTCTAAAATAAGGTCCCCACAAAACCCGGGGGAGTACTCTTAGAAAAATTGTGTGGGGGTGTGCAGCCCACTTCCCAAAGCCCTTACCCTATTTATGACCAAAATCTGCTATGTTTTCTACCATATTTAAGACCTGGCCAAAAATTAGGAACCCTATTTATGACCTGATCCTTAAATCAATACTCTGTTTCAAACCTGCCTTATAATTAGTTCCCTAGTTCAGACCAATGCTAAATTGCCGTAAGCATAATTTGTGAAGGGCTTTTGTTGATGGTCTTATCAATAATGATGAAAGTGTGGCTGCTTCTTAAAAACATACTCATGTCAAGACTAGAGTGCAAAAACCATACCCTGATTTATGACCAGAATGGCCAAAATTCGATACCCCATCTATGACCAAAACGGTTGAAAAACCATGCCCTTTGGGGCCGCACATACCTATATAGCCCATAANCACACACACACACACACACACACACACACACACACACTCACTCACTCACTAACTCACTCACTCACTCTCTCAAGGGGCAAAATCCTTAACACACAGAGATCTGTCTCCCTCGACTATAGTGAGAGACCTGCTCAAGGAAGACACACGAACAGTTCGGTTGCAAAAATCGTTCCGTGCCTAGACCTTCATGATTTTCATGGAGACCTTTAACCTTTAGGCGGCTTACCTGATTCCGACCTGTACGTGACCGACAGCTTCAAAACACGGAATTCGTGTTTCCTTTCTTTTGTCCTTAAGCAAAATAAGGCATCGATTGATGTTAGAAATGGAATAAAAGTAAAAAAAGACACCATGCCGATTTTTTTGTTTCTGTTTCGACCTCACACGCCGTGTAATAGAGGCTTGAAATAAATAAGTTACGCCATCTAAGGGAAGGTCAATGTCCGTTTCTTTCAGGACGCCAAAAATGCCACGTTAATTAGTGCCAGAGAACAAAGGTTCGTCTCTATTTATCTGTACAATTCACAACCCTGAGTGTATAATCTGTAATTAGTTTGCACCGTTAAACTTAAACAAACACCTGTTTTCCGATACTACCCGATTTTATTTTCTTTCTTCAGTTATTTCGATATTTTCTGTGACAGAACTGAATTGCGAAAGGGGAGTTAAACTCTACCAGATCAATTTAAGAAGTAGTAAACAAATTACAGGTCAAATTAAATTTAATTTTGTTCAGATTTTAACGCTAACGAATTATTTTCACGCATTCGTGATAGAAAGCTACTTCAGATCAGGCGCAAATTTGATTTTCGTTTGTACCCCGATTCATTTGTCAGTTTGTATCCCGCTAAGATGAGAGCACATGTACTCACTAATCTCAAGAGCAGCAGTCGAGTTATACTCTGTTGTACGCATAATCCTGCTTCCACGTTTTCTTGGTATTCTCTTAAGAAAAAGATACGCGTAGGCATTTCTAAGCGACAGTGTATCCACCCACCTACTTTCCAATTCTAATCGTCGAATTTAAAACTCAATGGGACCCCTAAAAAATAGCTTATAAAACTCGAGTTCGAGTTTGTGTACTGGAGAAGGTACACCGCAACCAGAGCAGTTGCAGGAGCAAGTTGGGCTAATTTCTGCAGATTACAGACATGACGGTACTTCTCAGCAAAAGGAAGATAAATAGCTTCACTTTCATGGCACTTTTAATAGTAGTACTCCTTGCTGATAACTCTCAAGGAATTATGGGATGGTTTGGAAATTCGGGAAAACGACCAAATGGCCGGAGGTCCTTAATTAAGGTATGATATAAAGACAACCAAGTTGACGAGATATGAGATTTAACCCATTCTGAATTTGGTTCGCGATCTGGCTTCAAAAGCGAACACTTGCTTTGATGTACATGCAAGTAAGCTCCCTCCAAACAATTACACAGACGACCGCGTAATTTTACCGCGTACCAGATTTTTATCAATATTTGTCAAGCCTCTGATAGCGTAATAGTATTATGTGACAGTATATTAGCAGCATTGTGTGCCACGCTAAAGGTGTCTGAAAATGGACGTTCCTTTCAATGGAAGCTCGTTACAACGTTATCCTTGTCTAAGTGAAAGCACAATATTTGGATTAGCTAGGAAAAAGAAAATCCAAAGGGCGTTTTTTGCTTGGCGATAGAGACTTTCCTGGCCTTAAAAATAAAATCTGGAAAGAGTTGTTTACTTTATCGTTTCTACACTTCTTAACTGCTGGAAAGCGTATAATTATTTATTGACAAGTTCACTCCTCTGCGAATCTCGGAATTATAAAAACATCGGTCAAACTGGTTATGCGCGCTGATTTAACAGTATTTTTCAGATTCTTTTCATTGTGTGCTCGATAACCAGGGAAGAATGAACAGTAAAAAAACAATTTAAATCGCTAAATACATACACCATACTCGATAAGAAAATTATGCCGGGCGGACGTAGGAGGTTAAAACCGTCTCTCTTTTTTTTGTCTTTTTACTGAATGCGACAGAACAAAAACCCGGATACAATTAGTCGGCGTTTATTTTATAAACCAGCGAGGAACATTCGATGAATTTTGTTTTACCCACATCCAAGTTCATAGCCTCTTCCAGGCGTTCAGTTAGTTGGGGCGCAGCGCGAAAACCTGCGAGTGAAAAAATAGTGGGAGTACAACGCTTCTCCCCTATTTTTTCGCTCGTCGTTTTTCCCGTTGCGCCCCAACCAGCTGAACGCCTGGAAGAGGTTACCAGGTTCAAAGAAGCAGATTGAATGGGCTGTAAAAACATCAAGAGAGAAACGAAACGCGCAACATGGAAGAATGCCTACTCTTCAACTGGAGACTAACACTGCCGATAGGTGCTCTCAGCCCGCGTCGGCCTAGCCACGAGAAACATTATTTTTATTTTTTATTTTTTTGTCGTGCCTAGCAATACTGAATAGGCTTCGGGGGAAAGAAACACAAGAATAAAAATCTGGGGCCTGTCTGTAGTAAGAAAACAAACTTAATCGAGAATTCGTATTTTTCCTCCTAGTTGCCAGATGATTTAGAACTGACTCGGGGCAATGACGTAACACATCGCCCCGACACAAGACCGAGTGCTCTGGGACAAATTAAAAGACAACCGCTGAACAAGCATCGCCGCCGCAAGCTGGTCGTTCTTGGAAAACACTTCTGCTTAAAGATTGATGACTGAAACATAAAACGGGTGGAAAATTGATTTTATTGCCAGTCTTACCGTACACGTTTCAACTGGCTCGCAAAGTTCTCCTGGCCTTCCGCGTATGAATTCCAAGTTTTATTATTAAACAAAGGAAGTCATAACTATGACCAGCTATGACTGTGTAAGGATATGTGATCTTAATTAGCATAGATTTTTACGATTTTATTTCTCCGTTTTCTCTGCAGTTTTAGTTTTGATAGAGAAGATATATCAAACACTCAAGACAGTGTTTGACCACATTTCCAAGCACCTCAAAGTTCGGCAGAATACTCCGCTACGCGTCGTATTCTCAACTCCCTTCTGAGGTCTCGATGTCTGGAAATGTGGTCAAACACGGTCTTTCGTTTTTGATATACTACATTAAGCTGTCTCACTCGCGCTATCCTCTCTTGAAGAAATGGGTAACATATTTCGATGAGGAAAATCGTCCGAGTGGTTACTAGCCTGTGAAGGTGACTTCCGGTTAGATTGTCACCATATTGGTGGCGGCGGCCACCTTGGTGTCCCAAATGGGAGTTGAACTCTTGTCTTGTGTAAACACTTTCTTTTGTTCCTATAAATTTGCATGGCTGCTGGCCACCTGAGTGAAAACGCTCTATCTGATACAATAATTAGCACAAGAAGCCTTGTTTTGTTGGGTTTTCACGGATTACTTGCTAGTAAAATAGAGCCAATAGTTACACAGTGTGGTTCGGATTTGCTGCCAGTTTAGTTTATGGCTTTACTAACTTCAAAGATTTGTAAAGAGTTACAACCAAATAAACCAGTTTCACGACAATGTGTGCAATTTTTTTCGATAAATAATCACTAGAAATTTATTTTGCAACCGTGCACATGTATGTGTTTGTTTCGCGCACGATCTAAGTCTAGCTGTTAATAAACAAGATTACTTTTTAAGCTGTTGAATAAACTCTTGGGTAAGAATGATATTGTTCCCGTCTCGCTTCACTGTTTAAAGTAGTAAGATGCACTTTACAAAGCAGCAACTGATGGTTGCCAAAAAAAAAAAAAAAAAAAAACGAAAAGAAATAATAATACTAGTGACAAAATGTCCAGAATCTGCACATCAGCTTTCTAAATGAACAATACTTGACAAGGGTCACGACCATACTCTTATAACTACCACCGAAAATACCGCATTGAAGAGAGCATTGAACATTTCAGCTACATTCCCGTAATTCATAGAATGACTGTCTAAGATCACTGACGCCTCTATTGAAGTCATGCAAAACTCCCTGTTTCCATGCGGCGGCTTCAAACCGACATAAATGTACATCCCCTTCCCACGATTGCTTGCCTTATTTTTACTTGAGCCATCAGCGCCTAGGTACTGTATGCGCTGCACCAATCACAGCGTAGCTTGCCGTCTTTGTGGGGACGTGGGGACGTGGGGACGTGGGGACGGGGAGCTTTTCGTGAACTTCGGCCCGAGCGGTGACTAAGGATCACTCACTCGGGGCCACTCCACTGTAGCCGATTGACACACCCAAGCTCAAAGCCATGTACAGCTTCTTATCTATTCCTTTGCCCAAACAATATGACACGACAGGTTACCGCCATCTGCAAAATAGTTCGCCTGGCAGCGAAAAGGAAAGCTATCGTGAGAAGGACAAGACCAAACATGTACACCGACACTGTTTGGGCATCTTCTTGGGCGCTTTTGGCAAGTCTCAATGCCTGGATCTGTGGTGGAGGATCCAGGATCCACCTCAAGTAGACAGCAAGGAGTCCCAACCCTGCTCCAGTGCTGTCACTTATACATCCGTCTGTAAATAAAGACAAATAGACAGTTTAAATGTTCGTCCAAAGCATCAGCCGTCAAACATAGTTATTTTCTTTTTTCAAACTTGTTTGCTGCATGTTGAACTATACTGTAACACCTTTATTATTGTATGTCCCTGGTTGACTTAATCTGTTTATAAGTTTGGAGAAAGGGCTTAAATAAGTAAAGGTAAAGTCTGCATACGAGCCAAGTGGCCCATCAGGCCCGAGCTTATCCCAGGTGCTAGTCCATCACAAGGCTACCCCCAGCATTACATTTGCTGTTGCCCATGTGTACACCCGGGTAGAGAGAGACACTGAAAGTGAAGAATGATCATCGCAGTTAATTTTCCAATTTAAGCAATTGGAAAGAAGAAGCCTGAANTCTACTACTACAGTTCATATATGAATTATTTCGTATAAGCTTCACATCAGAGAGAGACACTATGAGAATAAAGTGTCTTGCCTAAGAACACAACACAATGTGCCCAGCCAGGGCTCAAACCTGGACCGCTTGATCTGAAGTCGAGCGAACTAACCACAAGGCCACTGCACCTCCACAGGGGCTTGTATAGGGATAGGACAATAAAGGGCCTCAAATAAGTTGAGCTGTTTCACTGCAGGATCATTTTGTTGTGAGCTAGAGAAACACACCATTCCCACAGCATCTCTCTACCCAGGGGTGTGTTATGGGTGCTGGCCATTTGCAATAACTGTTAGGCCAACATGATAAAATGCCAGAGGTAAACTGGGTAGACTAGCATCCCATCATGGGGGATTGGCAATATTCAAGCACAAGACCCCCTGGTATTGAGGAGGAGGCATTACAGTACAGGCTTAAGTTTATGTACAAAGAATAAACTTGCATAAAATCAAACCCTGTGTAATATTGAAAGCTAAGAGAAAATAATGAAACAAAAATGTAATGTAAAAGTGGAAGATGAATGATTCCATATTAAGCAAATGGAAAAGCAGTTACCTACATGTACATATTGTTTCTCCATTCATAAGTTGTCTTTAACAATGCACAGTTTGGGTGGAGACTTATTAGAGAAGTATTAATCATAATAAATTTGTAGTTGGAGAATTCATTAAGGGTATTGTGTACAGTGTTTTCAAACCAATTCTCTACTCAACCCCTTAAAGCTTTCCACCTAGAGTATAAAGTCATCGTGTCCACATTTATATACTGATGAAAAGGTATGTCAGAACTACAAAAATGTTCAACCAATCGGAAAGCACGACAAATGGAATATATATCTTCCTAACAAAGAGACACATGTATATGCATGTGCGATACTAAGTACTCACTTCCAAGGTAAGTTGACTTTAGCTCACGTGTTGCCTTCCCAGCTTCAGTTTCACTGACAACAGGAAACAAAACCATTAAAAATGTGCGGACATACCTCAATGCTAAAAATGGATGTCTATTGTTATGTACACAATGAGCTGCTACATAAAGTGAAAGGCTGCATTTGAGCCCAGTGGCCTGTCAGGCCACCATATGTGGATCCTAGTATCTGTACTGTAAAGCGACAAGAAGTATTTCTACTCCCTCCTGGATGGGAAGCTACGCCTAGTCTATTGTATGGTTACCCCCAAATTAAATTTACTGGTACCCATTTATACATATGGGTGGAGAGGCAGGGTGAGAGTAATTTGTCTTGCCCAAGAACACAACACAATGACCCAAGCCAGGGCTCAAACCTGGGCAGCTTGATCCCTCCCACAGACAGCTGAGAATAATGAACAAAGATTACAACTCTATTTATCATAGTGGGAAAAGCATACTGCCTTGATCTTGCAACTTTTCTTTCATTTCAATCCTTTCATTATAAAAGAAATATTAAGTAACTACCTCTAGAAAAGTTTCCTATATAGAAAGCAATAGCCATATTGACATACATGTACAAAACATGGCCACAATCTTCAAATTTTACATTTATCATTCCTTTATTACACCATTTCACTATGATGTTAGGTCAAAAAATGTGCAAAATATGAGCCCATATAATTAATAATAATAATTATTATTATTAAAACTTTTCTGCAGATTCATATTTTGTTCTTGTCATTTGCAGGAGCCTTACATGATTGGTACAATTTTCAGATGATGCAGAATGTATTTCAAAATCTGCAAGCTGAAATACTACAAAACCAGCGACATGATAGTATAGTAATAAATCCTTTATTGGATGGTAACATGTAATACATGTTGCATTTTGTTCATTGCTGTGATTTTTCCTTGCCCCCTTCAGGCTACGACACAACTCACAAAATATCTGCACACATTAAATATGTTTTAACTAAACCATCAAATAAGGTGTATGTACATAAATTATATACATGTATGTATTTATTTAGCAAGAAGTAAATGTATGTGTGCCATACTGTTTGAAGCAAAACAAGCCATATAGAAATAAGTCAAAGCCCCCTTCAAGTCTGAACTAACCAACACAAAAATGTGAATCGTTATTACATAGCGCAATCATACTGCATTGTAATTCTTGTTTACCTCATTTTCTTCTCTCCCATTCTGGTGTAGTCTCCATAACATCCACTTTCCAGTTGCCAAGCAACAGCATTATATAGCCCACCCCCTGTTAACAGCTCATGGTATCCTAACAAGCCACAACTAAAGCTAAGCTTCAAGATCAGCATGAGGCCCTCTGGGTCACCTCCTCCATGAAACTGAGCCCAAGCGTTGTTGAAGTATGCTAAAGTGCACATGTGTTGTAGGTGTGTCGCTAGCTTGTCTCCAGAGGCTTCTATTCTTGACAGTAGTTTGTCATGACAGCCTTGTTAGTAACCAAGTAAAAGAAATACAACCAAAAAGATTTAATGTGACTACACAACAAATTCATTCTATTAACAAAATATCAAACACCACAAGCAGAGAAACATGCACAACTGATTAATATTTATTTAATAATGTATTAATTAGAGCAATTGATGAAAATAGTCAAACAAGCTCTAAAATTTAAAACTTTCAGATTTCAATTTTTGTTTTAAGCCATTCTTGTTGCTGTTGTTGTTGTTGTTGTAGTTGCTGTTGTAAAGAGTTTTTTCTCCTGAAGGCCCACCTGGAACTTCATTATTATCATCAAATGACTGTATTCAGTGTGTCATAAGCACAGGCCAAAGAATAGAGAATGCTGATTTTCCACGTGGGAACTCAGAATAGCCATTCTCCCATAAATTCATTCTAATATTTTGCTTGTTCCCTACTCATTATATGTACATGTATGAGGTACATTTATGCGATGTGCCAATGGGTGAGAGTGGAAAATTTAACAATTTGTCTTTGTAAAAAAACAAATTGACATCAGTTTTTCATGTGTCTGTCCAGTTGTTGACAGTGAATTTCATCATAACATTGTCAAAGTAGTCTGCAGATCCACTCAGCTATCGACAATGTTATGACGAAATACATGATTAATAACAGGACAGACACATGAAAAACTGACACCAATTTGTTAAATTTCACATGTGAAATTGCCATGGCAACATTTGGCACAAAATTTGGCACAAAACATGCGTAAAATTATCCCTTAATTTTACTGGTCACCATTTGATTACTCATACTAATATCACTTTTATTTCTAAAGGAATTGTTATACCTACATGTACAAATGATTTGGTGACAGACATATATACAGTGTATACACCATGTATGGTGACTCATAAGAATTCCCTTCTCATTAGACCAATTTTGATATATTAAAATTCAGCCTAAAACAATAGACCTCAGTGCGAGGCTCTGCGGAATTAAAAAAAAACTCAAAGCAAACATACCCGCTGCCTCGCCTAAGATGAAAAACAAAGACTGGTGATAAAGAACATTACTCGGGGCTCCTTTTGTCATCATAGTCGCCCAACACTCATCAGAAATTGTACATGGTTCACTCTGACTGCTCCTGCTTCCCACAACTTCCCTAACACAGTGCAAGTATCTTTCTCTATCATCTGGTCTGCTTTCTCGTCTCCCAGAAACACCCCCTAATTCTAAGAATCTGTAGGCTTTGTAGTAAGTCCATGGAGAATTCAGAGCAGGATAAAACAAAGGATCATTTTCTTGCAACAGTGGAACAATCTTTTTCAAAACTTCAGAGACTTGGTTTAGAAGTTCTGTCACATTGCTGTAAGCTTTCAGGCTCAGCTTTATTTTCCCATTGTCTGTCTCTTGTATAATCCTGCGAATGTATCCTGCAGGTATATGCAGAGGCAAATTTGAGAAACATAGCACAACTTCATAAAAATATTTCTAAACAAAGAAAAATAATTGTAGAAGTGCTCGATACAAATACATGCAGAGCGTAATACAAATTAAGATAAATATAGAAACTACAGTTACTTGAGTATCACACTTGAAGTGATCATCAGAGTGTTATTTAGAGCCTACAGTGTACCATAAACAGGCTAATCTGAGTGCTATTCAGGCTACCTGTCATGCTCTTCAGCCTAACCAGAGCTCTTCAGGCTTGCCCCCCCCCACTTTTCACCCATCATTCCTGTTTTAGACCAAGCTCTAGAGGAAGAAGTTCCAGCGATCTACAACAGAGTCTCAAAGAATTATGAAACATCTCTCAACATCATAACCTAGACCATAATCGTTCGCAGTGGAGTTGGACCTTGATCGCTACACAGTGGGCTCACATAAACGCAGCAGTTTTGTTGGTGAGCGCATGCATGCGAGCCTAAACCAGCGTTTAAACTAGTTTTACAGGTTCAAAGTTAATTTATTCATCCATGACACTGGACAGCGGTTAACTCAAAGGAATTAATGGTTGCTCACAGTGGTTTCTCTCTCGTTCGGCACATGAGAAACCAACTGCTCACAGGGGATAGTAAAATATGTCAACTAAAAAAAGATTCTGCAAAATGAGAAGAATTTCATGAAACTTTACTCAGGGCTTCTGATACTTTGCACGGTTGCGGGGCCGCGAATTTCAAGCAAATTCGCAAAATCCCACAAAATTCACAAAAACACGCAAAATACCACAAAATTCTCTAATAATCGTACCAAATACATGTCGGTACAACATATTTGAAACTTATCTTGGCTGCTGGAGCCCTTTACGTGCCGTAAACTCGCAAATTTATCGTGAAACTTCGTCACTGCAATGACTAAACAACATCCAAAAACTACCGGGCACTAACTGTGGCCACCATGTAAAAAGCTTTGCCGCTGACTCATTTCTTGAGCGCATTGTTGTTAACAGAGTAAATGATGATTTCTGTTAAAAAGAACCTCGTGGTCAAACAAATACAACACGTACGATAGTCCAAACGAGTTGCTCAAATTTTCCTGCAAAATCGGCCGTTTTTTCCGCGAATTTGTCTCTGAAAATCACGCGAAATTAGACTCTTTGTTTCCACGACCTATCATAACCCCTGTAATTACTTTACAATACCTTATATTGTTTTGTGAATTTTCCTTGGATGGAAATCAAAACTGTTGATTAAAAAATGACATGTGGACGGAAAGGGAACCAAACTGGCCCTGGATTTAACCGTAAGTTTTATGCCTTTGATACATTGTATCGCTCTCCCCGATGCCAGAAGAGGTTAATCCTCGTGCACCGGTACACAAGAACCGATACAAAAGCTCTAACAATATATACAACAGCTAAAAAAAGATGGTTATGCTATCAGTGTAGCGGTACACCAGGAAACAACCCCAAAAGGAACATTTTTTTTAGCTTCTTTTGTAAACATGTACCTTCTGCAACTCGCAGCCCAAGCACGGCATCTGAATCCAAGTGCTTGTATTCGCGGTTAAAATAAGACAAACCATTCATGAAAGCCTTATAAATATCCTCGAAATTACTGTCATCCACGCCATCTTGTGATGAGGCAACTTTCAGCAAAAAATTTACCAAGATAAGAGTAAAAGCCGAACGAAAATAAGCCGACATAGCAAAACAAACCACATGAGGCACAGGGTTGCAAGACGAAATGAAAAACACACTCCAAAAGGACTGGGTAAGAACTTAGGTGTACATCCGCTGAAGGTTGCGCGCAGGCGTTAAATGTGTTGGCGCTCAGAGACTGAGTTTCTGAAACTGAGCGGGCACAGGCTTAGTGCTAGGCCAAGGGTGTTAAGTGAACTTATAACTGGGGAGAAAGCCAAAAGAGAAAACCAACATGAAACAAACTAAAATCATGGAAATTATGCTAGAGAAGCAAATTAAGAGGATAATCATATAATTTCTATAATAAGAAACAAGATAATGAAGTAGAGTCAATGTCTTAGTGATCACAAGCTTTCGACGCTGTCACAGCCTTTTTATCAAATGAACATGGCGGATATTTGTCAAGTGAAGCAAGTCACGTGCCAAAACATCCCCGGAAGCTCATCCCGGAGGTTCAAATCCACGGTCTCGATTGAGCGTCAGGAACTAGCACAGAATTTTAAAGACCTCGCAATTCGTACATCTTCGGATCTTCTTCGGTCGTCTTCGGCAATATTCGGAAATTGTTCGGAAATGTTCGAAAAATGCTCGGGAACGTTAGTCTGGCCTTCGGAACAATTTTGGAAAATCTTCGGAAAGTGGTCGGAAATCTTTGGAAAATCGTCAAGAACGGCGTCATCAGCATGTCCATATAATAAAAAGAACACGGCAAAAACAATATCTCACGAGTGTCGTGAGATATAGTTCTTGCCACTCGAACATAAAATTCATACCTTCTCGCCACCGTGTAATATCCTCTATGTACAATAATAATTGTGGGCCGATAATCGGTGAGTAAAAAATGGTACTCGATTGGATTGTGTAGTCCTTGAATGATTCATTTCCAGGGGAATGCAATCGTTCCAAATACGACCCTAAAAGCGTCGTTAAAAGAAGAACTGCCGAT